GAGAGAGAGAGAGAGAGAGAGAGAGAGAGAGAGAGAGAGAGAGAGTTCTCCCCAAATGACTGCCAGGAGGGAAAAACGCCAGTTCGCCACTGCAGCTACATACTGTCAAACATTGTTATGCTAAACAGGATTGGGTCAAAGTAGCTATGGACTTGTACAACCGGGTCAAATGTGGGCCCCGGCGAGGTCATGTCCTTGGCACACACAAAAACCCCAACCCATCCCCTTTTTTGCAGCAGATCCTAAATTTGATTGTCTCTTGGCTGGGGGGGTGGCTTTATACGTGGTTGGTGGGATTCCATCTGCTTTGTGGAGCTGTTGGTCGGTCGAGCCTGTCTCTCTGAACATACGAGGTTTCGGCCAACTTCGGCCCCAAAAAAGCCACCAACAGCCTTTGACAGACAGACACGAGTGGCCCGAAAATCTCTCCCTACCGGGGAAGCGTCGACTCTCTTGGCTAGCGACCCTCCTCCCCAGATCAAAACCTGCAGAGACGAAATAATTGCCCCGCTGTGAACAAATTGACACCGGCTTCTTGTAGTTCACGCTTCCATTACCTCGTTCTAATAGAGGTGACGGCGTTATTTTGTGATCAGCAAATCTCCCGGGTAAATAAATTCAACGGGAGATGGAGGGTACATTCTCCCAGAAGGTTAATGGGAACCATGTTGCTAAATTAAATAAATAAAACCAAATGGAAGTTCTCGCCCGGCTGACACTGCTCTCGGTAGGTCGGTCCCGTTTAATGGCCGCTCTAAAGACTGCGGGTCTCTCAGTTGAGGTTGGGCGAATGGAGGTCAGAAACCTCTTGTCTTGTACTGGAAACCCTGGATTCTTAGGGTTTGATTCCTGAGTTCTGCATGCTCGAGGGATCAGTGAGGAAACTGCGGAGGGTCGGGGAAAGACTTAGCTACTAGCAGTTGGAGGCTGCTGTTCGGGTAGCAATCTCAGACAACAGCCACGGTGCAAGACAGGATGCTGGAGTAGAGGGATGTCTGGTCTGATCCAGCAGGGCTCTTCTTACATTCTTCGCAGCCCCTATGCTCTCGTGTTGGCCCTCCAGAGGAACTGGTTGGCCCCTGTGTGAGACGGAATGCTGGACTAGATGGACCTTCCCTGGTCTGACCCAGCAGGGCTCTTCTGATGTTCTTCTCAGGGGAAGGCCTCAGACTCTCTGCCCTGTGGTTGGCCCTCCAGAGGAACTGGTTGGCCCCTGTGTGAGACGGAATGCTGGACTAGATGGACCTTCCCTGGTCTGACCCAGCAGGGCTCTTCTGATGTTCTTCTCAGGGGAAGGCCTCAGACTCTCTGCCCTGTGGTTGGCCCTCCAGAGGAACTGGTTGGCCCCTGTGTGAGACGGAATGCTGGACTAGATGGACCTTCCCTGGTCTGACCCAGCAGGGCTCTTCTGATGTTCTTCTCAGGGGAAGGCCTCAGACTCTCTGCCCTGTGGTTGGCCCTCCAGAGGAACTGGTTGGCCCCTGTGTGAGACGGAATGCTGGACTAGATGGACCTTCCCTGGTCTGACCCAGCAGGGCTCTTCTGATGTTCTTCTCAGGGGAAGGCCTCAGACTCTCTGCCCTGTGGTTGGCCCTCCAGAGGAACTGGTTGGCCCCTGTGTGAGACGGAATGCTGGACTAGATGGACCTTCCCTGGTCTGACCCAGCAGGGCTCTTCTGATGTTCTTCTCAGGGGAAGGCCTCAGACTCTCTGCCCTGTGGTTGGCCCTCCAGAGGAACTTGTTGGCCCCTGTGTGAGACGGGATGGACTAGATGGACCTTCCCTGGTCTGATACACCAGGGCTCTTTTTATATCGTTATGTGGCACTGTAGGGATCTGGGTCAGGCCATTGGCAGACTTATGTATTCCCCCCCCCCTTTGCAAAGTGGCATTCCCTGCAACCATTCCTGGCTGAAGTGACAACATTAGAAGCCAGCGGTTATGAAAAGCAGGAAACTGTCACCCAAAATCTCTCTTCCTCCCCACTTTGCCCAGATCCTCACCCAAGAAGACTGGAACGTGGTCTTGTATAACGGGATGGCCTCCACCTCTTCCTGGGCAGCCCTCTACTTCGTGGCCCTCATGACCTTCGGCAACTATGTGCTCTTCAACCTCTTAGTCGCCATCTTGGTGGAAGGTTTCCAAGCGGAGGTAAGGCAACCTGACACAGTCATCCTAGGTAGTTCATACAGAAGGACTAGTAACCAGTCCAGATGAATCCAGGTGGTCAGCCGTGTCAGTCTGAAACAGCGGAACAAATTTAGAGTCCAGCTGGGCACCTTTAAGACCAAGAAAAGTTTATTCAAGGTATAATAATAATAATAATAATTCAATTTATTAATCGCTTTCCCCAGTGGGCTCTAAGCGACTAACAATGTTCAAAGGGGATAGGGAAGACAACATATATTCATTTAATTGCACACGCTGTCACTGCACAGCGTAAACGTCTTCTGACTTGGCTCCGTCGTTTTCCGAACGGCTGCTGGTCGACCAGGCTTCAGGACCCGTATGTCAAATTGCCACACTGCCACCGCCTGGCCGAAAACATCCACTGCAGGGATTTTTGTAGCCGAGAAGGTCTTCCGCCTTTTTTCCGAACTTCGACCAGGACGTCCCGACCGTCAGCTAACACTCTCCCACAAGGGAGATTGGTGTGCCCACCCTCTCTAAGGAGTGGTTCCCATTTTAGCTACTCGTCGAAGCTTTCGAATCGCTGGGTGGACGATGAGCTGGGGACAACAGGCTGGCTGCTCACACCAGCGCGGGGCTCGAACTAACACAGTTCGGATGTTAAGACAGTGGGATGTTAAGACAGCTTTTGTGTGCAAGGCACACTTTTTTCAAATACGTCGGAATGGAAGATGAGGTTCCAAACTTATAGACAGGGCACTTAACAGCAAATGAACATGTAACATGATGATGTTCAAGTTATGCAAAGTGGAAAAACTAAATAACAAGTTGAGGTTCGAAGGCCAACAGTTGTGAAGCGATAAATATGTCACAATAGCAGATAAATGTCCAAAGTTGTTTTTCCTCCTAACTGTGGGAAGTAAGAGAATCTTAACTATCTCCTCTGAGGTGTAGAGGGCGCGTGAAGGGCACTTTGAGCTGGATGTAGGTCGAATCTGCATTTGCATTTTAAAATCAGTTTCGTGCTGCCATGACGCCATCTTTCTCTATGCTTGTTTGAATGTTGTTTGGAGAAGATTCTTTTAAAGCAGTGCAGAGGTGCAATGACAGTGGAGCCGCCACGAAAGGGCAATAAACATATGCTGACGTGCAAAAGTATGCAAGCACTGTTGAGGTGTGAAAACTACACCAAATGTAGACAGCTTTTTTGAAAATGGAGTCAGAAGGCTGGGACACTGGTGGGAAATACAAATGCAGATTCGACCATAATATTGTCAACAGATGACGTGATCTAGGATGTAGACAGTAACCCTGTTCACAAGTAGTGGTGAGCATGCATACCATTCAAGTACAGCGGGAAACGTAAGTTTCCTCAATACGGTAATTTTCATGTTGCATTAAATGCGCATCCAGCTGAATGTGTGATTTCAACCACGCGTTTATTCAGATATAGTTCCGACATAGGGAGGAATGTGGGGTGGGGAGAGGAGCACCTTTCCCCCTTGTGCCATGGTTCCAGTCTAAACCAGATCCCACGCACTTGAGAACTGGGTTCCCGCGGGGGACCTGCGGCTGACGTCTAACTGTAAGTCCCCCTGTTGGTCATACATCAAAAGTAACATAGTTTGGCCAATAGACAGTGTCTCCTCTGTTTTTCTCCCTTGCTGGATCCAGAGAACTCTGCCCTGCTTTGACACCACTCTTCCTTGCCTCCCTCCCCCAGAACAAATCCGTTTTGCAGTCTGGGCTTTAAGTGAGAATTATGTCCCCCCCAGGTTCTCTTTCAGATCTATAACAATTGCAATCTCGTATTTTATCAAGAGGCTTTTATGAAGTCATTAGCGTATGGAAATGTTCTCGAGCCTTACCTAAACTCAACCCATTCAAGCTAAGAATAATGACTCCGGAAAGGGCTTTAATCACTTTTGGGGTGTTTTTTTAAAAAAAAAAATGTTTCACAAGAAGCAATTCTGGAATCCTCAATCAGCTTTAGCGGCAAAGCGACTCAAGTGCTGAAAGAGAAACAGTCCTTGAATGGAGCCCTTTTCTTCAGTCTGTGTGGTCTCAAGGGGTAGAAGTGAGCAGGGGGAGGGCGGAATGCGGAAGGAACATTTCCCACCATTCCTTCTTGAACTGCTTTCTCACTTCTTGATGGCAAACAGGCAGTGTGAAAAGAGCAGAGGCCCATGAAGTCACCTCGAGAAGGGACCTCGAGTCATCCGCTACCTACACTTGAAAAGTTTTTTGTATCTCTTCTGGACTATAATATATTTAAAATTTATCTATCCTCCACGTGCAGCTGCTGGTGTGACCTTGGGTTAGTCACAAGTTGTCTCAGAGCCAGTTCGGTGTCGTGGTTAGGAGCACGGACTCTAATCTGGGAGAACCGGGTTTGATTCCCCATTCCTCCACATGCAGCTGCTGGTGTGACCTTGGGTCAGTCACAAGTTGTCTCAGAGCCAGTTTGGTGTTGTGGTTAGGAGCACGGACTCTAATCTGGGAGAACCGGGTTTGATTCCCCACTCCTCCACGTGCAGCTGCTGGTGTGACCTTTGGTCAGTTACAAGTACCTTCAGAGCTGTTCTCTCAGGAGCATTCCTCAAAAGAGCTCTCTCAGCCCCACCTACCTCACAGGGTATCTGTTGTGGGGAGAGGAAGGGAAAAGGGTTGTAAGCCACTCTGAGATTCCTTTGGGCAGTGAAGAGTGGAGTATAAATCCAATCTCTTCTTCTTCTTCTATCCACTGAGAACCACAGAGTTCTCAACCTAGAAGACAGAACAAATCACCCAACCATGAAAAGTCAGCGAGGTCAAAATCAAACCAGTGGCTGTATCAGGAGTTAAGATTTAAAACCATCAGCAATTAAGATTTAAAACTGCTTGAATTAGCCAAAGACAGAATAAGAATACGGTGAAGTTGGAATTTGGACCGCACTTTCATTGTTCAAAGAGATTGTCCTAGTGATGTATTCCAATGGATAGCCCTCTAAGTTAGGCCAGAAATATTATTCAGAACAAGAGACAAAAATCCATGTAATACCTTTGGTTTTGCGCAGGCTGGTTTACAACAAATTGTTATTCCCGCACAGAGAGAAAGCGTGATTTATCCTAGGACCTGTTGGCTTCAAAGAGCTCATGTGGTTCTCCCCACCACCACCACCACGTTATGCTGAAAACCAACCCTGTTAGGTGGGTTAAGCGGAGGGAGAGTGGGTGGCCCAAGGTTACCTAGCAAGCAGAGTGGGGATTTGAATCAGGGTCTCTGTGGTCCATGTCTTGACACTCTAAAGCAGGGGTGTCAAACATGCGGCCCGGGGGCCGGATCAGGCCCCCGGAGGGCTTCTATCAGGCCCACAATGGAACTGGCTGTCTTCTGCTTCTTTTTCCAGTTCTGCTGCTGCTGCGTCCTCGTAGGTTTGCAGCTTACAGATACACACCTGAACAGTATACTAAAGACTGCAACAGCAGAGACATTTTGATGCAATAATTTAGAGCAAAAGGTGTCAGTTTTCAGACACTGTTAAATAAACAAAATATTGCAGGAGTGCTAATGTTTGAAGCATGTTTTTATTTTAAGTTAAAAAAAAAACCTTTATGTTTGTGTCCACGCTACCTGGCATTACATTTTATGACACACCTGGCCCAGCCCAACAAGGTCTCATTTATGTCAGATCCAGCCCTCATAACAAATGAGTTTGACACCCCTGCTCTAAGGGCTGTACCACACTGGCTGTAACGGCTGGCAGACAAACAAAGAGAGGGAGAGATTATGATCTCAAGACGCTGAGCTGTCCTAGGACAGAGGTGTCAAACTCATTTGTTATGAGGGCTGGATCTGACATGAATGTCACTTTGTTGAGCCGGGCCATGTATGCCATAAAACATAGTAGGTACCGGAGATATAAACTGCATAAAGGACAGCAGCTGCGAAGCTCCAAGTTGGTGTGTCCTCACTGCAAGGCCCCACGGGCTGGGAGGGAAAACCCATGCAAAGGAAAACCCACATGGGCGGACGGGACAGCCAGCGGTGCAGCACTGGGCAGACGCTCCCACGCTGCTTGACTGCTACAGACTAGGTTGTTCTGCCACGCTGAAGCCACAATTGGAGTGGCTCTGCCCACTCCCCAACGAACAATCTCCCGTTCCCTCCCTTGCACTAGTTGCTCGCAGGCCACATAAGAGCCCAGAGTGGGCCAATTCTGGCCCCCGGGCCTTACGTTTGACACCCCTGTCCTGGGACATTTCAGAAAGAAGCTGAGAAGAAACGCGATTGTGTTAGGAAGTGAGAACGTGCACTGACCCTTTTCGGGTATAAATTCGGGTGCGTGGCCGTGTTGCTCCGAAGCAGCAGAACAAAGTCCGAGTCCAGGGGCGCTTTTAAGACCGACACAGTTTTATTCTCTGCATAAAGTTTATACCCAGATTAAAACATTGTGGGTCTTAAAGGTGCCACTGGACTCAAACCTTTTCAGGTATGGTAAAGCTGGAGAACAAAGAAAGTGGGGGAAATCATAGCGTCAAACCATACCCCTGGTCTATTATACAGGACTCTCTCTGTGTGATTAGAATCATAGAACCACAGAATCAGAGGTGGAAGGGACCTCCAGGGTCATCTAGTCCAACCCCACCGCACAAGGCAGGAAATTCACAAATACCTCGTCCTCCACACCCACAGTGGCCGCTGTTCCATGCCCAGAAGATGACAAAAAAAACTCCAGGATCCCTGGCCAAACTGGCCTGGAGAACAATTGCTTCCTGACCCCAAAGGGGCGATCGGCATTTCCCTGGGCGTGTTAGAAAGGCCCCCGAGAACTAAGCACTGAAGCAACCCCTTCCTGCCCTCCCTCTCGCAATCTTCCTACGTTCACACAATTCGCATTGCCGTCAGAGGGCCATCTAGCCTCTGCATCAAAACCTCCAAGGAAGGAGAGTGCACCACCTCCCCAGGAAGCCTGTTCCACGGAGGAACCTCTCCAACTGTCATGAAATTCTTCCCAATGTTGAGCCGGAAACAATTTTGA